AGGGAGATACTACATTTACAATACTTAAAAAAATGTGGAGGAAGTCGCGTATCACACCCAAATGTAAAGCTTCAAATACAGTCAAAAAACATGCTTAAAAAATTTGCGAAAATCTTGAAAAGGAGGTGTTTAAGCGCAAGTCGCTGGCATTCATGTCCAAAATTTACGTTCATCTTAGCGGGCATTGAGGACAAGTGTCTATCTATGCTGTCAAAATCAATTGCAGTCGCGTTAACATCGTCGACGTATAGCATTTCTTGAATGGTTGCGGAGACCAAGAAGGTCCGTAAAGAAGAATGATATTCATCTCGCCAGATGCCCTAATTGGTAACTAGCTGACATACTAGTACACACGCATCGAGGTATCTCGTTCGTAAACTTTTCAAATTTCTATGTTAATGTTAAAGCGTAGTTATCGATCCCAATTAATTCGCGAACGCGATAAGGGTTGAACCAAATATCCACCACCCCAAAAGCATTACTTTATAACAACTTACTTCCCATCGCCTTCAACAACTAACCCTAATCCCAACCCCGCCTTCCTCACCAGCGCTTTCTTCAAAAACGCCTCTCTCGCCAATCCCCTCGTCAACCGCGCCCATGTCTCAACACTCACCCGCCCCTTTACCAATCCAGCCTGCAGCGCATATATGGCCCGCTGAATCCCCCGCTCCTCAGCGACAAGGTCATATATCTGCTTTCCAACAACGGTGGGCGCAAGGAGGACGTCATCAATAGCAGGCAGCCCTGTCGCGGTTTGACGTTCCGTTGCTGCTGCTGTGCTAGATGAGCTCGGCTCGCTAGAGGATACATTTGTCGCAAGGCCGGTAGAAATGCGTGATTTTGCATCCGCAATAACACCGTCAGCACGTTGCAGGGACTGTTGAAGGATAGACGTATTGGATTGCAGCGTTGAGTGGAAGGAGTTCAGGGAGGCGATTTCGGATTGAAGGGTGGTGATAGCGGCATGGAGGGCTTGGGATTGGGTCTGCAGAGGTTGGAGGTTGGAGGCCGTTTGGGAGATGGTGGATTGGAGCGTTTGCGTGAGGGTTTCCGAAAGGCTGCGGAGAAGCGCGTCTTTTTCTGGATTTGGTGGGATAGGCGGTGCGACTTGAGGTGAAGATAGAGAAGGGAGCTCAAGCTCGAAGAGTGAGTTGAGGGGGTCTCGCGATTCGGTTTTTTTCTCTGGTGGTGCTGATTGCTGTGGCCCCAGAGTGTGATGAGACATTGGAGGAGGTCCATACGGTGGTACGTGAAGAGGACGAGATAATGGCTGTGTTTGCGGAGTGGGATGGATTTGTGGTTGTAAATGTGGGCTCTGGGGAGGATATGGTTGCTGCTGATGTTGGAGGGAGAATGCTTGGGGGATATGCGGTGGAGTTATCACATTGCTTCCGGGAACCGGGCTCACCGGTCCCATATCCATATGAGTTGGTCGATACCTATCTTGCTGGTGGCCTCGATTCGGTGGTAATGCTGGAATTTGGGATGCCATTTGCGAGTGTAGTGTGGGCTGTCTCAAGCTGCTAGATCGCTGCGGCGCATGGTAGGTATCATGATGGTTCGACACTTGGTCATAGTTCCGTTGTTGCGATACTGACCTTTGGTGACCGATATCGTTGGGAAGCGGGGGTAAAGGTGGCGGTGGTTTGTTGTATTTCGCTTGCGCGGAGTGTTCCTGTTGTTGCCTTTCATGCTCTACCACCTGGCTTGGTTTCGGAGGTAATTGCGGAGGAGCCTGGTGCAGTTGAGAAGGTGGGGGAGACGGGCTGACTGTTTTAGCTAGTTCTTGTGGTAAAGGAGGAACGGGAGGCGGCGGCTCATTTTGTTGCGTGGGGATACGGATATTCTGTTGTTGCTTTGATATTACTGGAGGCTCCTTCGCGAAGACGTCTCGAAGGATATACAATAAATCGACAATCGTTGACCGCTAAATAGTTTTCATATTCAAATTAGCACACTGCCTTCCCAGTAGGCGTCCCGTCTTCTACCCGAAACAACCCTGTGCTCAAAATCAAACCCTTCAACGTTTGGAGAAAATTACACCACGCACATCTGATGCTTCTGACCAGTGTGCCAGATAATGATGATATACCCTTCCCTCCCCACTAACATGTTGACCCGGGCGAACTAGCATATCCTGCGTCGGGGTGACATACACAAACGGCGGCTCACGGGGATAGGCTTTGGGCACCCATATCGTTATCGGAAATCGATATAGTACTCCGCGAAACGTGACAGGCAGCGTTCCGGCGAGTTGGAGGAGTAAAGCAGGTGTGCCATTCTCATATGCTATTTTTCAAACCACAGACACAAATGGCAAAACTTGGGTTAGCTTTTAAGCCGCAAATATGCGAATCCCGCTACAACAGATCGTGGCAGGGGATGGCTGTGATGGGAGGGCTGTGGGGGATTGGGATTGCTAACTGTAGACATCCGTCCTGAGAACGAAGCCGGGATATTGTGCTAGAAGGTTTGTTACGTCGTTGTATGTTCTGTTTGGGTCTCGATATGCTTGATTGGTCCCGTATTCGGGCTGTTGGGCCAGCGGGCAGGAGGGGGTCTGGTTAGCGAGCAAAAGGGAATCTCCGATGGGTTTGCTGCACGAGAGCCAAGAGGCGCAGAAACTTACATTTGTGAGCACTCGATACAACCAAGGTAAATGGTCTTCTGTGG